AAAATGTATCTTTTACTTCATTAGTCATAGCGAGCTACTGAGCAAATAATTCTGTAATAATCACTAGAATTACCTAATAGCAAGGATTAAAAAAAAAGGGTCATTGTGCTACCCACACTATCACAATACTAATCTGTTCACATTGCTCGCATTTTTTGCACTCAATATCTATGTTTGTTCTCTTTTCAAAACCAAATATCTATTTATTTCTTAAGTGCAAAAATATTTAAGGATTTCATGCAACGCGAACAGACCTATTCTCCTCTATGTTAAAAATTAGAATTTTAAAAGTTTTTTTAATAGAATTTTCTTTACTTCTGTCGGTCGATTCTCGTCCTCGCAGCAGCTAGAGTCATCCCCCAAAGTGCGATCCCCATCTCCCTGGATGTCCCCGCCACCCTCGCTCTCCTCTACTGGGTTGGTAATGGAACCCTCGGCGTCCCTGCTTGTCTCGACTTCTGCGCATCATCAAAATCATCTCTTCAGACCGCGACCACCGACGATTAATACTTACTTCGCTTGACAATTATACGGTTCGGAGAAACAATCTATTCCATCAATCCCGGTTATTTATCGAATAAGCGACTGTCTTTCGCGATAGTACATGGTATGTGCGTCCCTAAGAAATTGTTCTCCTTCTCGGTATCGAGAAGAGGGATCAAGAGTAGAAATCAAGAGTGCGCGCCTCTGAGAGAGCTATTGCTATTGTTATAGTCGGAGTCTAGAGAGATCCGCTGATTGCCCGCCAGGGAATTGCCGTGGCTTTCGTTACTCAAAGATTCGCCAAGATTCTCTCCCGCGTGCGTCATATAATCGAAGCAGGGTGGAGTGGACTCTTACCGGACTCGTCCTCCTCGGCAATTACGGTAGCGCGATGCCGCTCCAGCTGTCTGCCGAGCTCGGCGATGACGGAATGCAACTCGGTGAGCCGTTCCTCGTGTCGTACCGCCTGCTGTTCCGCTCGTTGCTCAGCGCGGACCGCCTGGACCTCCGCCCGCATCAGCGCGGTTTCGGCCGTTTCCCGCGCGCGAGTAGCCGCCACTAGCCGTGAGTTCAACTCGGCCACCTCGGACCGCAGAGAAGACAGCGCGGCTGCATGAAGCTGCGAAAGGAAATTCATTTCTTTCTTTATTTGCCCGAGGTCTTGGAGTCGAAAGATTTTATCGTAATTTCTATCAATATTGCGTATCAAGTAGGGTAAAGTCGCCTAATATGAGATATCTTTTTTTAAAAACTTGTAATTTATTCAATTTGCAATCTTAATTCCTATTTTCGTGTCAATTTTATGGGAAATATATTCAAGATTT